TCTGTATCACGCACAAAGTTTGACCAGAAATGTTAAGGATGTTGTGTTAAAGGAATAGAAGAAAGGAATTCCATTGGCCACCCGTCGTCAAATATGGTGATCTAAAAAACTTTAGCGTAAGGAGTGGCTGTCAACACACACAGACACTTGAGAGCACACACATGGCCACTTACCATAGGCAAGTGCTGCTCCTCAACTCAGAATCCTATGCAACCCAAACACTGACTGGCCTTATGTGCCATTCTGGAGTAGTCTGCCCCAGCGGTGAGTATTTAGAACCCTGTGAGAACTACACCTCCTATTTCCTTCCTCCCTCCTGTTCTGTACTACTAGTAAATGCATATGGATGAACAACATTTAGAGAACAGACAAAATATAAGCTGAAGATCGGAGGAAAAATGAACAGGAATATACCTCTGCCTTTACTCTGCCTCCTTCCAGTGTGTGCAAGTGGGCTGTTATGGCACAGCAGGATGTGGGCAGCTCGCGCTCAACCGCAATCAATGTGGCGAGCCTTGTACATGGGAGGCACAGTAAAAGGGGAGTTGCAAGGACAAATGAAATGGGTACCCAAAAGAGCCAAAGTGAACATATTTAAACCACCAGTACTTGGCCCAGCTATGGGCCTCGGGCATTTGGGGGGTATCGTTCACATGAACAGCCGGTCAGTGAGAATTGCGACGTAGAAAGGCAAGAACCAAAAAAAAAAAAAACACCTACCTTTCTAAGTTGGGCGGGGGGCGTGGTCACATAGGGTTCTTGGTGGAATGATCCTAACTACTATTTCAGTTAGATTCTGGATGTCGTTTTTTTCTGCTTTTGTTTCTTTTCCCTTTTTCTTAGATTCCCCTGCCAGCGAGGCAGGGCATCTCCCGTGATCTACTGAACAGCCCTCTTTGAGGCCATACTCACAATTGCACACAGACAAAGGCATGTAACTCATTTCAGGGCCAAATTCGTGTTCCTTTTTTTTTTTTTCATCTTTGAGATTCGTTTCTTTGTTTTTGTTTTTTTTTATTTGTTCTTTTTGGATTCCAACAAAAACGCCACGGGGCTGACACACCCAAACTGCGACGTGCTCACACTAGCACTCGGGAGAACGCATCCAACTGCATTCACGTCCCCAGAGTTTTTTTTTTTTTTTTTTTTTGATGTTTTTTTTTTTTTCCAAGTGGTCCCCCCAGCCTCGGCCCGTCCAGCTACTGGTACTGCCAGGCTAGGCAGGCTCGACATACCGGTCGCTGGAGGCTCGGACTTGACAGCTGGGCCAAGTACTGGTGGTTTAAGAAAGGGATTCAAACACGTCTGTTTTTGTGGCATACTGCGCATCCACACGGGCCTGCAAGGCCCAACCAGACGGAAAATAAGGGCCCTCCAGGCCCTGTGTCGTTTCATCCTAAAAGCCTGAAAACGAGGGCCATTTTCAGGCCCTCATAAAGTCGACCTGCCCTGAAACTCGGGCGCCAGACCAGGGTTTAGCACAGGCCATTTTTGGGCCTGTTTCAAGACAACCTTTGTTTGAACTTCAACGCCAGCGTCTGGCACGTTTCGGCATTGGCAAGAGCAGCCTCCCGGACGGGCCAGCACTATATAGTACTGGCCCACCCTGCAGGCTGCAGGTAGTTCACGGGGACTTCCCAGGCAGTTCACGGGCACTTCACGTGCAGGAGGCAGGAGGCAGTCTTCAGGATTCGGCAGCAGCACTCTGGTGGAGCGCTGCAGTAGAGTAGTAGCGTTAGGAGTAGTCTTCAGCGCTGGGCGCTATTAGGAGCTTACTGTAGCGTTGGAGAGAGAGAGAGAGTTGGCGGAGGCCAGGGAGACTTACCTGCGGCGCCATAGCTCCAGCTTCGTCGTCGATGTACCTGCAACAAGGCGCCACCTTCACAGGTTACTACCGGACTGAGAGAAAGAGAGAGAGAGTTCTTCTTCTTCCTCTTCTAAGTCCACCATCTCTCCCTCACCCTCTCACTACTTGACTGCTCAGAATTTGCAGACTACGAGAGAGAGAGAGAGAGAGAGAGAGAGAGAGAGAGAGAGAGAGAGAGAGAGAGAGAGAGAGAGAGAGAGAGAGAGAGA